AATTAAAGCACGAAAATACAGTGCCATTTATTCAAGAGGAAGAGAAAGTTCTGTCATCAGCAACATTTCAAATGAAACTTAAGGAGACACTTCAGAGAAAGAACCTGAACTGGCAAGTGGAGAGATGTAGCTCATTCCCACAGTGGCGCAGAAGCCAAAAGGATGCTAGTATGCAAGGGAAAAAAAAAAGTATCTGACTTGAGCAGGCAGTCCTCATGCTTTACTTTTATTTCATAGGCAACAGATGTTTTATGTAATAATAGTATGGCCATTGGAACAGTCTATCTTCCGATCAGTCACTGTATGCTTGTTAAATAGATCTACCCTTCCCATTTCCTTAAAGTAAAACAAACATGGAGACCACAGATGATTACGTGACCCTTAAGATATCTAGAAGCAAGGTTTTCCAAAGGAAAATTTGTAATGAGTCAGACGCCTAAACAATAGCAAGATGACAACTTTCAGAAGCGCTCAAAATCCAAGTGGGTTTAACTTTTCTCAAAATCTAGCCACTTATGTCAGTGCCTGCATGTGGCTCAAATTCTTCTAAAAATGTGGTCCAGACTATGTGTGCTGAATTCCACTGAAATTCAGTCCTTGGTATGCACTGAATTCCACTGAAATTCAGTCCTTCAGTACCACACCACTGAAAAGAGTAGGTTTGTGGTATGAAAAAAAAAAAATTACCTAAGTACTTAACAGAAAAAGTGCAGATTAAAAAACTTGACCAAATTATTTTTTCTGATATGTTTGAGGTCTAAATCTGCTCATCATCTTGATACAAATAGCCAAAGAGAATCAATCAGGATTCTTCAAATGTCTGGTCTTCAGAAGTGAGACCCAGTTAAAATGCTTTCATACTCGTATGCTGACATGAGGTTCTCTTGATCTGTATAGTGACAGGTTTGGTCACAGTGCTGTATGTAACCACCCCACCAATAGTCATAATGTCCTGTTTCATGCTGAGAAGGGAAGAAATTCTGAACGTGGGCACTCAAAACCTTCTGGGGTGTTTTTCCAAGAGCAGATGTTTGCAGGATGTCTGTATTACATCAGACTGCTGTACTGATTTGACAGTACACAAAATGTCCATATAGTAACACTACACGGGCAGCTGTCTTTATACATCCAGCATCATCTTTCAATACAGTTATGGTTATATACAGCATTTGTATTACTGCCAATTAATCAGTCATTGTCACTATCTGGTTATCAAACAAACAGTCTGGGAGATCTGAATCATTTGAACTCGCAATGGTGCGGATTCCTCTCAGATCAGGTGATAAAGTTCTTTGTTTCCTAGTGGTCACAAAGCACTCCGGAATTGTTTTTCTCAGAAAATAAATTACCAGATATCATTTTATAATGAATTTTCTCAGACTTCTGGAACCACCTACTTCATACTAGGTATGCCCAAGATGCCCAGTATCAGAATAATCACTTCAGTTTTACTTCATGTAAAGCTTGTTACATGATATCTATGCTTACAGCTTTGAATGCTGATCTTCAAGATGGAGGAGTTTAAATCCCTTATCTGCTGATAAATAAAACCTCAAACATCATCTTCATTCTCTGGAAGTGTTTCAGGTCAGGTCAGATGAGGCTTTGAGCAACCTGATCTAGTAGAAGTTGTCCCTGCCTGTGGCAGGGGGTTTGGAACTACATGACCTTTAAGGTCCCTTCCAAATCTAACCATTCTATATAAGGCAGGTAGCACCACTTTCAATTCATTAGCCTTATTCATAAACACAGTGGCTACGTTCGGTTTTGTTCTCCTTTACTTGAAATAGAATCACCATGTTGCATCACTACTGAAGAGTAAGACCATATGAAAGTTACACAAGTAAAATAACAATTTAGGAAACTCATGTGGTAACCATTAACAGAGGAAAGCTAAAACCTTTTTTTTTTCAGTTGGCATTTATGTCATTAAATGTGGGTATGTCTGAATATGCAGAATGGTGAATATGTATCAGACATGACCAAATATGCATCTTGTTAGTTCCAGCTTCTCCAATATGGCTCCATCCATCTACTCCTTCTGTGACATCTAAGAATGTCAGTTTTAGTTTCCATTCTTACTGAGTCCTCAGTCTCTCTGTAGATACTGGAAATAAAGGCAATTACGTATGGCTAATTGTGGCAGATATCAGATGACACAATCTGTATATCCCAGTGGGGATTCTAAGGCAGGGAGAGAAACAGAGGGCCTCAGATTATGAACCCGTCAGTTGAAATCACAGTGGATTTCTAACTGAGAGATTACATTTTCACTGACAGAGTATCTTTGCCACAGGAAAACAATCAGGTGTTAGTTGTTCCTCTATAAATACAGTGTGCAGTTCATTTACAAAATAAAAATTCAATTTTGACAACCAGGGATAAAAAAAGTACTTCCTGTTGATCTCCCAGTAAAAAGCCATGCCCCGACTTCAAATTCTCTAATGAAATAACAAAGACATGTTTATCGCTATGCAAACAAACAAGAAAAATTCCTTGGCTTTGTCTTTACTAAGATAATGCTGTGTACCAAATTCTGCTGGGAGCAACAAACTGAGCATTGTGTCAGATTCTTTGATCTCCCTTGAAAACTATTGCTTTTAGTATACAAAGCCTGAAAGATGAGTGACAGGAAGGACAGAAAAAGAAAAGAAAGAATGTTCTACTTTTCTGACCTTCTACTGCCTGATGACCAGATGATACAGGCTTTGTAGGGAACTCTATGTTTATCTGTAACTAAGTGGAATGTCTGAAGGAAGAAGAGGTCCTCCCTGAAAGAGACTGAAATGGCTGCACATTCACTCATGCCACTTGAAGGTGGTTTTGGACCAGTTCTTCACAACAATCATCCTGAATGTTTCTTCATAACAAAAAAAAAAATGTCATCACTGAGCTAAACTTCATTTGGAGCTAAACAGAGTTTGAAAGGCACAATTCTTCTAGGCTGGCAGCTATGCTAGATTCAGCTCCACTCATGGGAGCATGGGTGAGAGTCCATTCCGAGTACTGTATCACAAAACCTTTCTCAAAGGACATCTAGCCTATCTGACTCTTTCAAATTTCAATTTTTTCCAGCATATACACACCCTTAAAGACCAAGTCTGAAAGATTCGAAGGAGTTTACAGAGTTAGTAATTTGAACCAATCCCACTGACTGGCTGCCAAACACTCCCTTTAACTCCAGACTAAGTAACTTGTAGCAAAACAACATACGTGAATTTGGCCAATACTTCCTTTTTAATGTTCTACTTCACACAGAAACAAGAGGCCTTTGAGGTTTTCAAATTTTCCACAATCTAAGCTCATCTTAAGACATTTATGAAGTCAGTCACATTTGCACAAAGCGCATCTTTATATAAGAAAACTGTCACTGTGATAACACCTATTTTAATCAGAATGCTTCAGCCCACCACATGCAGAGATACAGCCCAAAGCTGGTCCTGAAATGAAAGTAAACCATCCTTCCATATTTCTGGAGCACTGATGCATTATTTTAGGACCAGCTTGAATGACCATAAACATAAGGAGAATTAGAGTCATGCCTCTATTTTCTCATTGCTAGCTAGCTCCAGTTTTTTTTTTGTTTACCCCCCTTCTTCCGTATGTGTGTTCATGTGTGTTTGGCTATTATAAGCACTTTATCAATACCACTATTGACTCAAAATTCATTTCAGAGGGATGATTTTTATGGCTTCCATGATTCTTAAGCTGCCTGTGGTATTTGTAACTCACGGAATCAGAAACTAACACACAGACAGTGTAGCTTTTCATACAAAGGCACAATAGAAATGAATGTATTAACCTCTGTGGTACATGGAATGTGTCAGCTTACACACTGGCTGCTATTTCTGCGAAACTCAGTTAACTTCCTCTGCTGTGTTAAAATAAAAAAATTAGAAAACTGTTCCCCAGAACTATGTCCCACGCTCTCGTATGCTGGCCAAACAACTGAAATATCTGATGCTGCAGAGAGTCTACTTCCTACTGATGCTGGCCAAACTGAATTTCAAAATGCACTTTACATGTACTGTTTATAAATGCCAAGCTTTTCTAAGCAGGTATAAAGCTCTGCTGTTCCATGTGACTTGGCAAATATTAATGAGCAGGGAGACGAATTAGCAATGGAGAGTATGGGATTTTTTTGCTTGTTTCTACAAAAGAGTGTCAATCCAGGTTTTGCAGAACCAGAGATGATTTGGATCTTCGTCCCAGATTTTAGCCAGCTTCATCCTACCAGCAAAGCATATACGGCAGGTAACAAAATTCAAACTCTGGAGATGAACATCACGTTTTCTTAATTCCAGTGATTTAACAAGGGTTCTGGGGCTGATCAGGAGTACCTGAGGAACAGTTACAACTCTATCATTAAGACACATGAACACCGTAATACCTCCAAAACTTAGTGATATTGGAAGCTTTGAATCAGATACATCTGGCAACCAGGCGCCAATGCTTTTTAACATAGCCCAAAAAAGATTCTTTATTATCTTTCCACCTGTTTTCTAATTGCCTATGTTAAATTAGTATAATTGCTAATTATCTGCACTACAGCAGTGCCTAAGATGTGCCGGGTACCATAAAACACTGTAGGAGGGGGTGGTCATTGCTCTGAAGAGCTTACAGCCTAAAAGGACATAATCATGTTAAGGATTTTTAAGTAGTTTAAAAGTGCTTGTCAGGACAGAGCTTGTCTGCCCAGCAACATGTTTCCTTTTGCTGGTTTACACCTAGACAGCCTTTACAGCCTGATTCAGAGCTAGCTAATAGGAAAGACAAGCAAACACACTGCTCTGAGGAAATGTGAAGTAAAATTGACAATAAAGGCACAAAATGTAACAAAAAGTTCCCGCAAGGAGAAAAGAAAATGCGTATGATTTGATGATTGTTTTGCTTCAGATGCAAATTGTAAGCGAACAGACTGCATTGTGTTCAAATGGAAGAGAAAACTGGTTTTCATATTTACTTAACCTTTGCCTCTTCTACATTGTTTTCCGACTTACCTGCAGTTGGAGCGGGCCTAAGCCTGGTGTTGCTGCGGCAGCAGCTGCCATGGTAGTTGGGATCAGCTGAACGGGGTAAGGGTCACCTAAGTAAGAGAATAATAGAGGCGTCAGCACCTTTTATCTACTCTCCACCTGCAAATTAAAGTCCTGCATTCACTCTTTCCAAAAGCCTTCTTTTGTGTGCCTTGTTGAGGCCTAATGAAAAGCTCTATTGTGCAGCCTTTTACTAACACTCTTTTCACAATTCTGGCTGAGAGAGGAATGTGAATAAAAGGCACAAGCAATTAAGGCGGAAACCTCATCCTTTTTCATGATGTATTTAGGGAAATGGAAAAAAAAAAGTGCACATTGATCAGAAGGCTGCACTTCAATTAAAAAAAAAAAAAAAAGAAAAAGGAAAGAAAGAAGATGGGGGTGGAGGAGAAGAAAAGGAAAAAGGAAAACAGTACAACCTTGATAAGATCACAGCATCAGAAGGGGACAAATTTACAAGCTTGTCCAGAATATGAAGTTAACCAAACTCTGCTCACTGTTAGTAAACTGAGCCTCACACAGATCAGAAATGGCACTCCCCTGACTACTGTGTTTTCTTTTAGGTGAGAAAAAAATATCTTGCTTTAGTTTCAGGGTTTGATCCTACAACAGCAAAAAGCATGTGAAGTTAAGTAGATCAGATATAAGCCTCCAAAATCTCTGTGCCAACTCCACTTCATAACTTGTGATTCAATTTTGCTGCTGAGGGAAAACTACTTCACTTCTAGTAAGAACTGCATTGTGCTGAATGAGATAAAGGGACCTGGTAAAGGTTTAAGAAAAAGTCGCAGGCAAAAAACGTCTATCTAAATGCTCCTGTACATTTCATTAGAGAGGCAGATTAGAAGTTTTCCTCCTTTATTGTGCTTTTTTTTTGGGAAAAAAGACAAATTAAGAAGGCAATGCAGGCTGTTCTGACAATTATTGTTAATTACTATTGGATTTAAATCTTTAATGCTATCAAGCCTAAGTTACAGGAAACAGAAAACAAAGAAGGTTCTCTCGTGTTTTTGAAATGTTACAAATAAGCTATGTTGGTGTATACATGTTCAGGAAACCTGGTAACATTTATTTTTCCCATTTATAATGCAACCTTGTTTACAGAGATCTCTTCATTCATGAATTTTGATCTCCTGTTAAGTACTGTAACTTCTAGAAATGTTATGGCCAGAAAAAAACTGGGCTGGCAAAGCATCTTAACAGATATTTTAACTTCAAGGAATGTGCCTGCTTATTTTTGAGAACATCTTAAATAATGCTTTGCCGACTGAAGTCTTACAGTCTTTCAAGGCTGGCCAGCCAAGCAATGGGACTCCAAAGATCTACCCAGGCATTCCCCATTCTTTGCACCAGCACAAGGTTACAACTTCTCTATTTATTTCTTTCTTGTCAGTGGGCAACACATTTCCTGACTTGCTTGGTTGTTGTTTTTTTTTTATCCCAAAGGATGTGATTGTTTCACTTTTTCCAATGTTACTTTGCCCACTTTTTCTATTTCATATCATCGACTGAACTAGAAATTTTTGGACAGTTATCTTGTGACCCAAGCAGTGGGCCTTAAACATGTGAAGGCACAGAGAAGAAAGACAGTGGTTCAAAGACTCAGGGTCAATGGTATTTAACTGCTTCCATGCCACTAGCAGCTCAAAAACTAATCCCAGTATCATTATGAAAGACTCCTATCTAGAAGAAGATATTTTGTTCAAGAACCAGCCATGAAATGAATAATTTCTAAATGCAAAGAAAAGAACAGGGTTTCATTAAAAGAAAGGCTTTCACTAGAGTGTTGATTCTACAGCCCCTTAAAGCTTTTAGTTATGAATTACCTGTATTAAAACGAAGATATTGAAAGTTTAAGTTCCACACACTGTCCTACATTCCTCTTCTCTCCACATGGATGTATAAATCTCAGCCCATCTTCTCACAACCTCATGCCAATTCATAAATCCCACTATTCTGAACTTCCTAACCACCCAGGCAGATTCTCATACTCTCATCTGTTGTGGTAATTCCCACCCTGTAATGTTGTTTTGGTAGATGTATCAAGGAGACACTTGTGAGAGAACATGCTGAAATCCATGGCCACCTGCGTATCCCATGGCCATGTGCATGGTCACAACCACTGGCTGTCGTGGTGTTAGGTAATGCCTCTGGGGCTGTTTAGGAGACCATATTAGAAAGCAACTACTACAGCAATATGTGCTAATGTTTTTCAGAATTCTAAGGAAAGAACTCTGTTTCATCCTAAAAACAGATTCTAGTTGTGCAGAGCTAAGCTGTCCTGTTTACCGGGCTGGTTTTTCGTTAGTTCATTCTTTAATGGGTTTTACATTTTTCTAGTGCTCCAACATACTTTTAATGAAAAAAAATAAACAAAACTGAAAGGCATCTGTAACCCATCATGAATCTTTGCTTTGTGATGCTTTGGTAATACCCTCTGTTATCTTCTGCTTATCTTAGGGGTTTAGCAAAGTTCACCCTGCCTCTGCTGCTACTCTTTCACAAGGGCTACTCATAGACAGCATACCCACATTACTACTCCTATAGTACAGACAAAGCAGCAGCCTTGTTGTAGTTGTTGAAAAAGTTAGAGGAAGGTACAACAACAAGCAGAGACACCATCAGGGTTAGCAGTATGCTGTGTTTGCCCTGGAACAAATGTGTAACTAAAGATCACCTCTGTCTGGATGTGCTTACTGTCCACAGGAGACAATACACAAGAAAGCAAGGAATACACTCAAACTCCATGCCATGCCCCAGGTCACTCAACAGGACAGTGGAAGAGCCAAGATTACAGCCCACAGACAGCTCCTTGGGCAGTGCCCTTCCCAGGCCCTGTACCGGAGAGGAGGTCAAGCACGTATGTACTCACATCATATGGTGCAGGAACAACTGCCACCCCTCAAAATACTAAGAAAGGTCAGAAGTCTCCTTCAATAAAAATATACCTGCTCATTCTTTGTTGTTAAATCTAGAACATGAAGCGTTTTCCTACTCTCCTTCAATTTATTCCTGTATCAGACTGAAGGTTTAGTTAGTTCTGAAGTCTAGGAAATGCAGGTCTTAACTATTTTATTACTTCTTCAGTAAATATCTTATTTTCAGACATAAAAAGTCGCTACATTTTCTTCCCAAACTCTAGGAACATCTCAGAAATGTAAGGCAAGATATACAGTTATTAGAAATAGATATTTCCCAAGCCATTAAAAGTTTGTATCACTGAAAACACCAATATATTCTCAAACAACTATATTACATTCCAATTTACAGAATTCACTATTAATCTTCTAATCCATGCAGGCAGGATTGTAGCTCCCTGCATTTTTCAGCTACCAAAAGAAACATTTTGTGCTGTCCTTTCATGTTACAAACTGTCTCTGGTTATGTCTGGGCTTTTCTTATAAACAAAGCGTTAGAAAGGTTTTGTTGTTGCTGCGTTTCTTTAGTACACTATATAGTAAAATCTGGAGCAGGTCAAAGGTTGGGATTTTTATTGTGAGAACAAGGTAGAAATTATTTCCTTAGCTGACATATTCTTCTCTAAAATATAATTATTCCCAGAGACTTGGTGACATCATTCTGAAGAACAGAAGTACTTAAGACTGACTACAGAAGGACGTGCTACAGCACCTAAAGAAGTGAAAGGGACATGTCAGCCTGGCGGAGCTGATGAGGTATATTAGAGGTGTCAGTGCACGGTGTGAGCAAAGGAGAGCACCAGTGACTCAGGAAAGAAGGAAGGCAAGGCTAAGCCCTCAATATGCCAACTCAATAAAAAATGCCAATTCTTTATTTCTCTACCCTTCTTTTGGTCCGTCTTTCACAGACATACCCAGAACCTCTTTCTTGATAATTTATGCGCTGCAACTTCTTTCAATTTCAAATCACACCTTCATCTTTGCCCAAAATAATCTTCCAAGATCTTGCTTACAAGAGGATTTTTCATGAAGTACATTCACTTTTAAACCACTCTTTCTATGAACTCTCCCTATCAGCCTCCACTGAAAACACTTTTCTGTGAAAGTAAGTCATGGTACAGAGCCAAGTGGACATCCTGTCCCAAAACACAAAATAACAACCCTGTGTTTAGGAACCTGGTTTTCAACTGACTAGCTACCAGGCTCGTGTATATTAAATGATTGTATGCTTGTGGAAATACAACAGTGGCTCTTAAACCATTTATATGTTTTGCAAAATTTTATCAAAGGACTTCAGTAAGTTAAAAAACATTAAAACTTCTTTTTAAAAGAGAAAAGGAAACATAGGAACTAACATTATGTGTGTTACAACATTCCTCTAAACTCACAAGATGTTTTTTGTATTCCTTTTTCTGTCACTCATCTCATTTATTTCCCTTCATGGTGTAATCCCCCCTAGCGTCTTGTCTTGTCTCCTGACAGGCTGCAAGCTCTTCAGAGCAGGCACAATTGTCTTACTTGCTATATAAATCAAGTTACATGCTAATGTTAAATTATAATGTTTTGACAGGAATTTTAAGATGAACCTGATTATATGAAACAATAGAACACGCTGATATTTTTCCTGAAATTTTCTTCTTTTAAACAAAAAAGATAACAGAAGAGGCAAAGTAAGGGGTTTATTTCCTATGATTTTTTTAAACTTATTGTATCCTCAAACCTGTCTTTCAAGGACAGCAAATGAAAAAAGTTTGAGGTCATGAAAGAAGAAGAAAAAAACAGTGCACAGACTATAAAGAGTAGGAAACAAAAACAAATTCTTAAATTATAATTTCTAAAACCAGTATGCTAAACTAAATTCCATGAAAAATACAGGAATAAACATTTCCTTACAGTAGATTCTGCTGAATGAAAAGGAATTCTACATTATTTTCCCCCCATTTTTGACAAGCTCTAGAAAAAGCCACAATAATTTTACACTCAATTTATCACTTAAGTGTATTTAAAATGAATAATCACAGCTGATGGCTGACAGGTAAGCCACTGCATCTCTTCACTCATTCATTCTCATGCTCATTACCCCTTCCCTTTCGTTTTCTTTGGTGTGATGGTGGATATGTAATATGAGTAAC